GTTCTTTCGAATTAACTCTCTTTCTCTTTTACAGGTCCTTCGGGACCTGCGAGAGGTTACAAAGTAGCTGATCCTTGCGGAGCAATATCGCAAGGGCGAAGCGCGACTTAGGCAACGCAAGCTAAGTTCGCGTCTTTGGCCGCAAGGGTGCCTCACGCCTTAGGCAATTCTAGCTAAGGTCGTGACAACATGGCATGGGCCTCTGAGGCATTGTCTAGGACTGGTTTGTTGCGTTGTTTCACAGTAATGTCATGTGGGCACTAGCAGGGAGTTTGATTTGTGACGGACTGTTTTGAACCCTTTGTCGTGCAACCGTTCAGAGCTTGCGAAGTCCATGTTTATAATTTGCATTGCCTATAAAGTGTTTGCTGAAATGGCTATTTGTGGATCCTGAGTTAAATGCTTTCTCTAACCCGTCTTTTCTTTTGTAGATCCTTTAAGGACCAATAAGAGGTTTCGGGAAGGTTGACCCTTTACGGACGAACACGCAAGGGTACTGCACGACTTAGGCAAAACCAGCTCAGTCCGTGACAATATGGTCCCGACTATTTCAGGCATCTATATAGATGTTGATACAACATAACTGGCCAAACAAAGAGCAATTGGTCGAAGACGAGAACCACACATCTCAAAGGGGGACCTAGAATTTGCTATGGTGGACCATAATTATGATAGCATAAAGAAAAATCTTTTGATGACTATAGTAGTATATTAATAATTTTAATGATTAATTGTATACAATCTAATTAAATTATTTGTTCTGCTTTTAGCAGCAAAAGACTCTAAAGAAGACACAATGAAGTTGAAGTATTGTATTAAAATTAATAACTAACGGAATCCAGGGATCACATAGTATACAAGAAAAAGGTCACCAAGAAATACCTTAGGCTCTGAAGAGGTTATCCTCATTGTGAGTAACACTCTCTCTAAGCTTCTGAGTACTTCATCTTCAGTTTTACCATTGATAAACAGAAGTTGTCCTTTGGGTTCTGAGAAGAGATAAAAAAGTATTTATTAATGAGAATTCAAATCAAAATACAAATAATGTGAAATCTACAACCATCCAACATTCACCAGACATGGAATACTCAAAAGTCAGAACAACAAGACCTTTAACTTTATCATGATGTAGAAGAGACAAGGTCCATCTAGAAAATAAAACTACACTAAATCTTCAGGTGATGCAACTAAAAGTACAATCCATGCGCAAACTAGTGTGCAGCCAAGGTCAGAGTAGACCTGAAATTGGCCTGGGATCAGTCTAATTAACATACTACAATGGGTAAGTCAATTCCTGATTGGTTGTCAACCCTGTCCATATCAGGTCATGGGTCCGAGTTATTTTGGCTAGGACTGCTTAGCTGAGAATAAGTTTGTTGTTTTAATTTATAAGTTTTGACCAACTAGAATCTAAATTGTCGGTATGATGCAACAGCTAGTCTGCTTTAATGTATGAACAACCAAGAGCATATGAAGTTTGGTACCCAAAAAATCATTTTTAAGCTTCATCTGCAAACTGAAAAAGAAAAGAAATACAAAGATACATAAAAAGGGCCGAAGTTAGTCAGGGTAAATAGTTTACTCTCCTTTATTTTCACACATAAACTAGATGAGAAAAAATTATATGTACCTGAAGAAATGAAGTTGCAAAGAAGAGCGATTTGGATGGCTGTATTTTGTTTGTCACCAGTTAACATCCAAAAGTTGATTCCTGCCTGCCTTAGTGTTTCAATAGTTTCTGGTACACCATCCTATCATATTAGAAAAAACATAGTTATCTACAAAGGTTACCAACATACAGGAAAGAATATTTAACATTGGGCACCAAAATAAATACAATCAAAATACAGGTAAGAATATTTCAGGCATGATACAGATTTTTATACCTGAAGCCGGTCTTCAATAGCAGTAACACCAATAATCTCAAGGTCATGCTCTAATATTTGGCAAACCTCAGCCAGCTTCCACTAAACAAAGAGAAAGGCTTAAGTATCAGCTTCTTGAGTTTCCATCTAATGAAAGCTTAACATATTGTAACCTACCTCCCTATCGACTAATGTACTTCTCGCCTGCTTAAATGCATGTGACCATTCATTGTACTCATCGTCTTTTAACTCACGCCAGCCCAAGCATAGAGTACGCAAACCCAATTGAGCATATTGCTCCACAGCATCAACAAAGGGTCTTATTTGCTGCCCTGAATAGAGTTAAATTATTGTAATAAACACAAATATAAGGTGTAGTATTATAAAGTAATGCAGTGCTTTTAAAAAGTCTGTTTTCTGAACTATAACTAAAAAGGAATTAAGAAGAGGAATCAAATAACAAGAGATGCCACCCATCAAGTAGCAACGGTGCCTGCACCATATGAAAGGTTTCTTATAAGCCAACATGAGAAGAGCCTCGCATGATGTGTTATTAACAATGGAAAATGTTTTGCATTATCACTGAAAAACAAAGGTTCCTATTCAAACATGGAGACCAAAATTGGTATATAGTTCAAGTATTAAAGGTCATCCAGAAAATCCATATGAAAATTTTGAATAAACAGAAAATGAGTGGGAAAAAGTTTATAACTTATACTAGAGGTGATGCTAGAAATATCAATTTTGAACTAAATAGAATTGAGGAGCAAAGATTCAACAATGAATGGTCATGTAGCTCAAGTCCTCCGGGCTACTAGAATTCAGATGCTCTGTTTCTTGAAGTCACACACTCCAGCTCCTAGAAAAGGTTTGTTGAAAAAGTCCAAATAGTTCTAGAATTCAGATACACTTTTAATGATAGAGTATTTATCCCACATGAGATACACAAAATCCTTCTGAGAATTCAAAACTAGGATTTTACATGTCAAAGCAAATAAACATTCCGCAAAATTATCAATAAGCAATCTGGTGATAACACATGAAATCTTTAACTAGAATCTCAAGCCACATGCCAGGAAATAACATTATACTTCCATAGAAAGTAGGAATGAGATAAAAATTTGATGGTTAGTAGCATTCCATGTATGGCAAACCATGGCCAAAACTGTATTACCAGCATAGGCACAAGGCAGAATCGCTTCATCAGCACCTTTGGATAAGAGGAGGATCTTTCCATCTTGACAGTCTTTAACAACCACTGACATTCTTTTACGATCAGAAGTAAACTCCAGAATATCTAGTATCTCATACTGGATTAGTGATCCATTTAAATTTATCTCTGCAAGTACAGCAAATCAACAAAGCAATAGTTACTCAAAACTGCAAGCCCCTTCATTAAATGAACAAAAACTGGGATAGATTACAAAACCAAGATGAATGTAAAACAATTTAACTGGAGAAGCATCTGGTGCATAATATTTGACAAGAAAAGGGGGGCAACTGAAAGTTAGCACATTCAGAAAAACAATCATACACCAGACACATCATCAGTCCAAATATCATTTATATTATCATATCTGCCCTGACATGGTCATGCATAAACCTTTCTAAGTGGGAATACCCTACCAAGACTACTGCCATTTTTGCTGATTAGCACCATATGCAATCGAGCAGCAGCATTAACAAGTGCATCTTCATCTTGTGATTGTGCTTTATATGAGATGGTTCCACTCTTGCTGCACACCAAGACAGGTTAAAAACTTTAAGGTATAAAAGATCATCATTCAAGCATCAAAACAATTGAAGCATGGGAAAAACTACCTTCTAATAGGGATAACTGTATTGCAAACTGTCATGATTGTGACAAATCTGATTACATCAGCAACATTATTGGCAACAGCATTCAACAGTTGGACATCTATCTAGAGAGAAACAGAGTGGTTAGATACCATAATCAGTATAATTTTCCATAAAGAAGTGTGGTTGAGTGATTTTGAGATGTAAGACATGGAAGATAACCTAATAACCCATAGCTATCTAATTACATTGCATTTGTTACATCTTCAGTTCAACATGAATCAGAAAGGAAGTAATATATAACTTTTAGAGATTCTCCTCATCAAGAAAAAATAAAACATGAACAAGATATTCTACAATTTCCAGCAATTCTTTGTCAAGCAAGACCTACTTCCACAAGAAATAAAAAGAAGAAAAATGAAAACCAAGCAATTTCTTTAAGAAGAGAACAATAAAATACAATATTTGCCATTTCTTTCAGTATGCAAACTCTCCTTTATGTAACAGCGCAACAGCCCCTATATCATTCCATGAGAATCTTCATTGAGAATGCAAATGAGAACAATCTGTCATATTCAAGACTTTTAACATTTTATGAAGAATATATGCAACTTTCGAACCTCTTGACTACCTGTGTTCCGACATGAACTTACACCAACAACATCTTGATAGAATCTAACAAATTTCTCTCTCTTCGTATGTAGCTTCAGTAAACAGTAATAGAAATTTAGAGCAACTCATCCCTAAGGTTTAGATGACTCCACAAAAGCTATAAAATAGAACATCATCACCTTAAAGTACAAAACTATTCATTTTATAAGTGCTCATTGATAGAAGTATTGGAACAATTAAATCAACATCATTTCTAAGAATGATTTTTCTTCCTTTTTCAGCAATTTATTTTTGGGAAGAATTATCTTTTACTTCCAACTAACAAAAAAACATATGTACTAAAAGGATAGAAGTGAAGAACTTATTTTGCTTCAAATGTTTTGCATGTAACAAAATTTTCAAAAGACCATCAATAGTAACTAAATATTGTTTTCTGGTTTCCATATGCTCACAGAACGATAGCAGCAAAAAGATCTACAACACAAGTTGAACTGAAATTATTCAAGGAATCAGAAAATAACCTTTCAAAGCATCTCCACTTTCATTTCCATAGAAAACACCATTTATACAACATCTTCTGAAGATCATCTTATTCTCTGTTAGTGTCCCAGTTTTGTCAGTCAATATATACTCAACTTGTCCAAGATCTTCACTTATCGCTGTGCTGAAAGAAACAAAAGGTTAGAGTTAAAGGACTCGAAACACCTATATGCAAAAATAGGCATGCAATTTCCTTCACCTACTTAGCTGCATGAGAAGGAGTCCTAGTATCATGATCATACATTTCCTCATCCCAGTCAATGAACTTCGCATATATACCTTTCACTAGGTCCAGAGAAACCTGCCAATCAGAGAAGCCTCCTCTAGGTATATGATAAAGACAAGGATAATATAAATTTATAAATAATATAGGTATATGAAACCTGTTGCATTCTGTCTAATTTTGAGATGAGCACTTTGCTGCATATATATGGAGATTTCTTGACTAATTATGTTCGTTATTATTGTTGTTCAGCACATTAATTTACTAGAGCTGATAAGAAAAAAGCACAAGGGACATAAATGGTATCTAAATTCAATCGAGTCAAGAGTTACAAAAACAGATGATATCATTGAAAATGTCACCTATTTCAGAAGGGATATTGACAAAGAACATTGAGATCCAACAATTCATAAATGCATATGGCATACCTTTATAGAAATAGGTATCATGATGGAACACAAAAGTTCAAAACGTAGGGGAATCACCAGAAGTTCATACCATGGACCATCCTCTGGATACTTAACATACCATTGCTACACCAAACAAGAAAAAATATATAATAAATCACAATGATTAAGTAAAAATAATTCATTGATCTAAATGTAAACAATATGCTGCAACAAATTAAGATTAATTCAGATTCATCTAGAACTAAACAACTATTTCAAACATACGCTGAAATACCTTATGCAAAATACTTTGTAATATTACTACAAAAACGCATGCTCTTCAAGCCAACTACATTTTGATGATAAAAATTATGATATTTCACATGAATTTAATTTTACACGTCACCCAACTTCAACCCAAGTTCCAGATGGCATTTGCTTCAACATGTGCCATGGCATGAATTGTGTGAAATTTTGAATAACCTAGTTCATAATAACAAAATACCTTACGAGCTTCAGTATCCTTCCAAATATTCCCTGCAAAACCCAGGACAATAACAACAACAACTTGGAACAGAAAGATAGCTCCAGTCAGCTTATCTATCATTGCATCCACAGCAGTAAGTTTTGGCTCCGGTACACCCCTACTCATCCCCAACTTAGTTTCATTGCCTGAAAAGATGGTTAACCAAATACTAAGCCATTTCTTATACAAGAGCTGCAATGATGCTAATGTGTGCACTATAAATAGAAAGGTAGATAGCATTCCATACATTCAAAACTAAATGCAAATTAGAATCCAACAAAGTTATTCTTATAAGTACCAGCATATGGCTTTGATTCTTTCCCTACATTCTTTTTGAGAATCATAAGCTAAAAAAATGAAAGATGGAAAAATCAAGAAGAAAATTTCATGAATAATATATACAATGGAATTTAATTTTGCCTGCATCAGTATGAGCCTACACCAGTACGTTATTGCTCCATTCCAGCAGTCCAGTACAGCATTAAAGAATAACAGTTTTATAAACCCTGATGCATTCAGGGCTCACAAAACAAATAGAAAAAAGTAATAGTATGTCAAAGGGCTTCTTGTAGATAACCCTACCTTGTAAAATTATGAGAACAACCCCATCCAAACAAAATTCACAGAATTTTGTTTACTACAAAATTTGCAAATAATCAATTAGTGTCAGTTGCTGCATGGCACGCTGTCAAAAGAATATTACAATAAAATTACAAAAGAATTTCAGCAGGATTTAATTGTCAAAAGACATATATTCTCCAGCTCCTATTATTTATCTTCATTCACGGTCAACTACAGTCTAATTTGACTGCCACCACCGCCAATCCCTCCCTCCACCATCTCAACTAACATAGCCAACCTTGATCAACATGTCAGCCACCCATACTCCATTTTCCCACTATATATGAGACCATGGAAGTATAAAGAATATTGGAGAAAGTGGAAACAGATAATATCTGGCATTTAAAATTTAAACAAATTGATGAAGACATCAAATATCCATTGAATATTATAACTCTATCAACAACAACAATAGTAGTCATTTCAATTTACTAAGAAATTCACGATGACAGGTTGTAGTTATTGATAACATAGGGGGTGTTCATTATTCTATATAAGGTAGTTGATTACAAATAATTACTTTATAACAGATGATGTAACAAATCAAGTTCCCTAGATTACAAGCTTGCCTGTATAGACTGCAACTCCACAAGCCCATTCTGTATTCCTTAAATAGCAAGACTGCAGAAGTGTGTTACTGATAGTTAGTGGGCACAAGTCATTATCGATAAAGGGAGGAAACAATCGCATATTTCCATCAAATCTTGTGATGTCTTTATCAGGATTCGGGCACTCAATAACACCCTGTTCATTTGTAAGACCAAAACTAAGATAAAAAAATAAAGTATAATAATATACCAACAAAAATAATCATGAACAGAAGTGAAGTACCTTAATTATATGCAACTGTTCCGATGCTAGCCCAATACAAGCCAATGGAACAACCCGTGTTTTTAGATCAGTCTCACCATCTAAAGCAGAAGTCTTATGGCATAACATGGAAAAACAAGAATGAGGTACCATACTATCATAAAAAATTTTACAAAGCCAAGTTCAGATCATCAGAAATAATTTTCAATATATTTCATCTGGATTAAATTAAATCGCATAGAGAAGCATCCTCAGTTTGATATGTACAAGATGGTTTGTATAATATATTGCAAACCTTAACTACATGATTTTGATTGAACAGAGACCTCAACAGATATCTATCAACTAAGTGCCATCCAAGCAAAATAGGAGTGGTTGATTAGAAGTCAAACAGCATGATGAATATCATTCATAAAAGCAGGGAACATTTATAATCCAACATAGCAAGGCACATATCATGATGCAGTTCTTGCCAAAGTCACATCAATCTGGAGTTATGCTGCATCTATTCCTATCTGAAACTGTCATATACACAGACCATTACAAAAGATCCAATAGAGCTACTTTTTTTTTAATATATAAGTAACCAATAGAGCTACTTTAGCAAGAAAGTGAATACTATGACAAGATTTTTATCTTTGATCCAAACAATCAAATGATCTCCCCATCAGACCAATAGTATGAAAATCCAACCCAATAAACAAGCCAAGACAAGACCAAATTCGGAAAAGAGTTCCTACAACAACAACACAGACGTAAAAAAATTCCAACTATTATAACACCAACAAATCCATAAAGTCCCAATTATTACAATGACAAAGCCATGATGTCTCAATTATCACAACAACACTAAAGCCAAGAAATCTCAACTATTACATCAACAAAGCTGTGAAGTTCTAACTATTACAATAACAGAAGAGCCATGAAGTCTCAACTATTATAAATACAACAAAGTTATAAAGTCCCAACACTCAACTATTACAAATAAAACAAAGTCATAAAGTCTCAACTGTTACAACAACAAAACCACGAAATCCAAACTATTACAACAACAACAAAACCATAAAATCACAACAATTACAAGAACAACAAATCCATGGAATCCCAACAATTACAATAACAAATCCGTAAAGTCTCAACTATTACAACAACAAAAACAAAACTATAAAGTCCCAACTATTACATCGTAAAGTCCCAACAAAAACAAAGCTACAAAATCCATAAGTCTGACCTATTATAACAACAACAAAGCTATGAAATCTAAACTATTACAACAACAACAAAGTAAAAAATTTTCTACAATTACAACAAAAACAAAACCGTGAACTCCCAACTATTTCAACAACACAACCATAATGTCCCAACTCCCAACTATTACAACAACAACAAAGTCCTCAAGTCACAATTATTGCAACAACAACAAGGTCAACAAGTCCCAACCATTACAACAACAACAAAGTCGTCATGTCTCAACTATTACCACAACAAAATTCATAAAATACCAACAATTGCAACAACAATAAAAACGTAAAGTTGTAACTATTACAAGAGGGTCTGCCGTACCGAGCCATACCGCCCGGTACGGGTGGTACATACCGGTCCGAGACACTGTAGCACTGTAGCAGTATACTGTAGCACTGATTACAACAACAAAAAAAAAAACAACCATTCCAACAACAAAAACAAAAGTAAAAAGTCCAAAAAAGCCGAAAAGCCCCAAGAATAAGAACGACAAGAAAATCATAATGTCCCAACTATTACAATAACAACAGTCATAAGCTCTCAACTATTACAACAACAAAAACATGACGCATCAAGTATTACAACAACAACAAAGCTATGAAGCATCATCAACAAAGTCGTGAAAACAAAACGAATCCATTAGCAACATTATGATTGCAACAACAACAAAGTACTACCTAGTACCTATTACAACAACAACAAAGTCACAAAGTATTAACTATTACAACAACAACAAAGCCTTGAAGTCCCAATTATTACAATAATTGCAACAAAGACATGAAGTCTCAATTATTGCAACAGAAACAAATCCATGAAATACCGACTATTAAAAAAACAACGACAACATCATGAAATTCAAACTATCACAACAATAACAACCAAACCGTAAAGTCACAACTATTATAACAACAATAGAGTTGCAAGCTTCCAATTATTACAACAACAAAGGAAGGTTGCAAAGATCCAATTATTATTACAAACAAGCCGTAGAATCTCAAATATTACAACAACAAAGTTTATATAGTTTAAACTAAGGATTGAAATATTGTACCGTACCGAAGTTTCAAC